AATTAATATCTCCCCAACGCAAAAAAAATACATCTTGAAAATGGTGTATCTTGTCATTTGATGAACTATCAAGTTAAGGTTAACAATACGTATCTCACAAGATTAGAGAGTTGCACTGACTTTATGAGAAGTTGATAACAAAAAAAGTCCAATAACCTAATACGAAAGGTGGGCGAGTATTAAAGGGCGAGGAATACAATTTTGGGGTCTGTTGAATACTGATCGAGGCAAGACCATGAGGGCAAAACAGAAAAGGTCAAAAACAGTCTCATCGAGCTTGCACTAACGTCTACAGGCTGCCTTCGGGGTGTGCACCTGCATTTTAAGTTGCCTGGATTTTGACCGTGTTTTGCTGATTCGATATTCGTTGCATGGTTCAACTTGCCCGCGAGTTGCGTTTCTATTGTCAACTGCAGACGTAACATTATTCAGGTTTTCTCAGTCATTACAGAAAAAATGTCCTTGAGGGTGCACGCGACAAGAAACAAACAACTATTGCTGGCGTAATGTGAGAATCGGAAATGTTTCGCATTTTCCGTTTGAGAATGTGTACGTGCATGGGTTCATTCTCAGAACTCCGCGGTGCATCTTTCTTGACACCAGCTGCAAGTGCAAGACTTTCTACGTTAGCTCAGAGCTGGTTATACCGACATCAGACTTTGGGAGCCAAATGGCTGTTTAGTGTATGTGCAGTACGGCATTCAACTATCGTTTGCTATTGCCCATGTGCACTGACGCATAATTCTTCATTTTGGTTCCAGCAAATGAGACACTCATGTCGTAACTCCATCTAATAAACAGCTCAGGGTTAGCTGTTTGGCCAGGTACTTGCAACTTCTGCTTAACGCTGTCATTTAGTTCCTAGTTTAGAGCCTCACACCATTGAGATTTAGAATTGCTCAGCAAATTTTCTTTAACGCTCTTTCGAAGTCCTCTGGTAACTTCGGCCGCTATCGATACCGTGAGACCTACGTCACATAAGCTCATCGTTGCTAAGCAAAACCTCCGGTTGCGTTTTGTATAACTTGTCTCTGCTGATCAAAGATCGTGTGTCGAGTTCTGTATACAATAAAGTGTTCACCCTCAAGTCTGACACGTTTTGAGTTAGAGAGAGAAAAGTGCAATTCTGGTACAGACTAGTATACTGCTTGCATTTTTGCTTTGACCTGATAATTTAAATACTTTTTATTTCTTTTCCGGCGGTACTGTTTATTCCAAGCTTGTTTTCACCTCCTCTGAGTCATCTCATCCTCGAAGGCGCTGTGAAGAAAAAAAATGGGGCATTGCCCTCAAAAATGGGAAGGACCCCGACTTCTTGAAGTAAAGTTAAACAGAACAGGGGGTCACCAGGCACCAGCATTAATTTAAGCATATGCTTTCAAAATCCCAGCACATCATTTATGTCAGGAAGGGGTGGTGTGTGTTGACATTCTCGGCTTTAAGAACCAATGGAGTTCGGCGGGGCGCGGCGCACTTTCCTCCCCCGTTCTGTTCGCGTCTGGCCGACGGTCTTGTGGGAAATGTGAACATTCGCTCGTCCTTTCATCCCGGTCTCTTACCTTATCACTATATCAGCACGGTTTTCCGGGGGGTATAGCATTCCAGTCCGGCCCATGTACCAGACTGATGAATTATGACAATATCATGGTCCGTAAGGATTAAATCCCGACCCTTAATTGCTTAACTGGCTCGGCCGTACCACCTCGGTCGAGTGTCCTACCGAGTATACCCCAGACAAATAACGGAACAGTGACCGCTGAGGGAAAGAACAGCGTTGTCGATTGTTCAACATTTCGATATGCCGGCCCGTAACTAGGACTTTCCGTGGGGGGAGGTGCGAATCCTCAACAAAGCGGACCAAGCATAGATTGTTTGGTTTTCTAATTTTGAAAAACAGCAGGATTCATAGGTCGTACCAATTTTTTTTTGGGGGGGGGTTACAAGTAAACTCCATAAGAGGGGATTGACCGAGGCGAATACCGAGGCACGCGGCATTTTTTTTTCTATTTTCGCAAAATGTTCTATCATAGCTCAAAATCTTTTCTTGCCTCAAAAACGGACCTTTTAGCCGGGGGTGCGGACGCCCCCCCTGCAGCCCCCCCCCCCCGTTACGGGCCTGGTTCTGCATCTGTCTCTATC